TATTAAGTCAATAAACAGCAATAACAAATTTCCATTCATAAGTAAATAACATTTATTTTAGGCTGTTTTACAATATATATGTATATGTATATATATATATATTTATTACAATAAAAAAATGTCTATATTCAATATTATGAAATAGTCCAACATAAAAATTCTACTCTCTACAACAGAGGGTTGATGTTCACTACTAGAAATGTACAAATTTCAAATATATTCTTATTAGACTGGACAGTTTGTATTACTTTATCGATGTGGAATTTCTATCTACAGTAGTCAATTGTTATATTATCTACATTATGTCATTATTATTATTATTATTACTATTTCTACATTAGGGGTTATAAATAGTCCCTTTATTAAACTGTGCATTCATTACACAATACCAGTTATATTCAATGACCAACTAACTTAATAGTATTGTTGAATACAAGCACAACTCGGTCAATTAATATTTGTAAAAGCTGGACAGACACTTGAGTGTACAGACACACAGACGAATACACAGACATTTGAATGGTAGATATATGAAAGAGCGAGGCTTTGTAGCCATGGCAACATCCAAACACGTTTGACGAGTTGTTTAACGTGAATTCAAATCACGATTGACGGACAATTGTCAGTATACATTCAATCACCGATAATTTGTAATGCTTAGGTCATAAAATTCTAATCACGCCGTATTCTATATTTTAAAAACTCTAAAAATAACCATCGCATAAGCTAAGATGATTTGTCTTATAAATAATTCAATTAATCAGCTTACAAGACTTGTAAGCTCACGGCAATAATTCGGTTAAAATTGATAAATTAGAATCCTACTGTTGGTCATTCTTCAGGGTTTTTCTATTAAATGAATGAACGCGTCACAAAGTTGTGACACCATACAGAGGTGGACTGGTAGGCAGGACCGCCGGTCACGTGACATTGGATCTATATTTAGCCACGATAACGCATCGAATTGCTGCAAGATGTATCTGTTACAAAAAAATATTATCAGTTAAACTTGTGTTAATATTACGTACTAAATAAGGGCAACAAACTGCAACAAGGAGAGAAAATGAACGGTTCARTACAAGATTATATTTCGTGAAGCCACTCCTTCAAAAGCGAAGGAGAGGCTTCATGACTAGAACAGAGAAAACGTTTTAAGAGGGGAATTGGCCAAAATACAATGTTGCCATGCAAGAGTCTAACAATAAATCGGAGTTTAATTCGAAGATATTGTACTTGATATTCATCAGTTACTTACTTAAGCACATCGCAGTGCGCAAGTGAGTTCARCTCATGATTTGGTACGTGGAAGCCATTAGCGAGTTCCATTAACTCAGGAGAATGCAGAAACATTGATGCCTGAAATGAAAGATATCCAGTCAAATCATCTATTCCCGTCCAATTGTCAAATGAACCAGATTTTCGAAGTYGACGAMTGATCAAGCATCAATCAATTTCAAAACATTAAAAAATCATCCAAATTATCAACCAATCAATAAATAAATCAACCATCCAATCAACAAACCAATCAGTCTATTAATTCATCAATCGATTAATCCCTAAATCAAATTGAACGCCTTTCAACCARTCGATGAACCAATCAATTGATCAAGAAATTAGCCAATCAATTAACAAGTCGATCGATCAATCAATCAACACACTAACCAATCAAAGCAAGCAATCGCAAGTAAACGCAAATTAAGCTGTCATTCAATACGCACCCTCATGATTACAGGGTAAGATTTCTCCGCGTGTGGGTAACTCATCCAGAAGCTTTCCGGTAGTTTACCAGGGTGGACAGTTGATATTACATAGCCTTGAGCTAAGGGTTGGTGAATTGACGAGTCAATGTCTGTTTTCCCACGAACAGTCAGCGGTGTGATACTCTTCGATGGCGAAGACACTGACTGGTTCACGGGTTGAAACGGAGAAGCTCGTCCAATGGGTTGAAACGGAGAACCAACAGTCTGAGACGTGCTTAAATTGGTCACTAAAGTTAGAGGCGATGACGGAAGATGGTTCTCCTCCATTGGTGACGTCATTGGAGAGCCGAGGAGCCCTGGTGACGTGTTTAACAATGGAAAGAGATCATCGTCTGCACCAGCCAATAAGATATCAGTATCGGTRATGACAGTCTCAGTTGTTGTTTCTGATATGGGTACCGTTTTACTGTCTACTGTTTTACTAGTTCCTTTAGCAGGATATACCGCCGAGAAGACGCTGATGTAMGTCCGTGAAACGTCAGGTCTGGAGATGGTTGTTACAGGGATTTGATGGCTTGAATCCAGTGGACTTGAGGGTTTTGTAAGACCTTTGAAAACAAGGCGAAAGTTAGATTCTCTTTCTGTAAGCTATGGAGCAGTAGTCAGTTCTCATTCAATTGAGTTCTATWTAGGATAAGCATTARTTCATTGTTTTACGTGGAAATATGKATACCAATGTTTCACGAGAYGTAAARCTAAGGAAAACTCACCTTTTGCCATGTACAGTCTGACTGCAGGCTCAGGTTCTAGGGCCATGACAGTTGCTCCTAATATRGTTGGCCGCAAATCACTGCGCATGGAYGARCAAGCGTTGCAGGCCTCGCGGCTTTCACTTGACGTTTTACTCAAAATTTCCTTCCAATCTAGATAACAAAAAAAACAAATTTATACCAATGAGTTTTTATGACAAGACAAAAAAAAACAAGAACCTAGAGCCGAACGTTTATATAAAAACCAATTCAGTATGACAAATCTYTGTTGYTATACGCGAGATTTAATGTATTGATTATTTTCTACCATTCCCATGAGTTTCAAGACTTGCGGCCATGTTGGAGGAACGAACAATAGATACTAATGAGAAATYCTTTGTTGGAGTTCCTTCAAGATGGCCSCTGTGACGTAACTTGAAAACGAAGAATTTCACTCACCTTTAATCTCCCCATGTCCCATCCTTCCCAATTTACAAATCACAAGTCTCCATGACGATAGACTCGAGGCAATCACACCAACACAGAACTCAAATAATTTTGTAAGTGCTTTTGTTCTTGATGACGTCTTGTAAGGTTTGCCGTCTTCTCGCAGTGACGGCCGCACRCTTATCGCTGTAGTTTCAACCTTTTCTCCAGTGCTGTCAGTACAAACGGTCAGCAGCCATCGTTGATCACGTGACAGAATGTACCCACAATGCAACACTAGAGTAGATTGACATGCGGGTACCATTTTCTCAATGTTGCTGTCGGTGATTTCGAGTACTGGGTTGGTTGGRCTGTCCAAAATGTACGGACATGAGTACAGCTTTAGGGAGATTGTATCACCCTACGGAAAAAAACAAGATGTTAACAGACCTGATTACCAATATGGCTGCCATTTTGAATTTCCGACTTACGCAAAAAAAAATCTTGCTTTTGCAGTTGTTGGAAAATTTGGTGAAAACACTTAAGGCTGATTTACACGGTACGATTTGTTGCGCGCGACTTGTAGTATACGACTTGAATCACGCAGTATAAATGCCCCTACGACTTGTCTACAACAGTCGTACGCAACCTACGACTTGTAGTAGGATTTTGAACCACTGCTTAATATCCTACGACTTGTAGTAGGAAAATCGTATACTAAAAATCGTACCGTGTAAATCAGCCTTTAAAGCAGTGTATAACAACATATTCACTGCATTAATAACTGACCTCTTTGTCCTTTACTGTAGCTTCCTGGCCAGCAGCTGGACCAAAGCCCGTCAGTGACTTGACGTTCGTGTTGAGTTGGATGGTCTTGCGACAACGTGAAAACACAGAGAAAGCCATACACTTCAGCTGCATTATGAAACTCATGGACGTTTCTTTGGATTTGTTGAGGTTATCCACTTGAAGTACTTGTGTTAATGGTACCACCTGCAAAATTAACAAATCAATGACATCATTAATTTTGTTTCATCTGCACAATCCTAACAATGTTGGGAAATCCATCCTCTACTTAGCGAATAGTTGTTAGTTGTTGTTGTTGTTGTTGTTGTTGTTGTTTTATTGCCTCTAAAGTGCCTCTATGAGAACACAAGGCGTTGATGATGATGACAATGATGCCGATGATAATACCGCAAATAACAATGATTGCCGGCTGTTTACCTGAAGAACTATGTTGCTTTTCACTCCATCTGTCAACCCTTGAATCATTTCWGCAAAGCATCGCAGTAGTCCCACGTATGACCCCGTACCAGCCGTACTGCTGCTCACGAATGGGTCGACAAGGTACACTACAATAGTCGGGGGTTCGTCGCTGAAACTTTCGTGGTCGTCATCGCCTGATGGAGTACCTACTGTATCTGATGTTGGTGTACCAATACTGAAACAAAACATTAAAACTTTTATATACAGTGAAAAACAAACATGACACCAATGGTTCAACGAGTCATGAATTACACACATATAGTTACTTGTAGAAGAAATATTATAAAATATATTATATTAGTATTTATTGCAGTTTTATACAATGGTCGCTTACAAAATCATCTATGTGAAAACTTAATAATTGTCCCATTAAATAAAAACTGGATACGGTTAGAGTTACTTCTGCTTGTCGCACTTTCTTTTTTTTAATGGCAGGATTTATTTTTTTTTTTTTTTTTTCAAAAACAAATTTGACAGAGGGAACTAGGACCGACTTGTAGTACAAGAAAAAAAATAATAACAAGTATCACTTCAAAGGCAGAAATCCGATAAACGGTGATTTTGACAAGTTAAAAAGCCTTAAATTATAAGGATAGAAAAGAAATTCAAGCCCTGTCAAAGAGCTTTTAAGTCGGCAAATATGGATTAAATTACAGTCACATTTTAGACTGCTTGGCTAGGAAAATGGATACCTGCAAATATCATCCATTCTCTCATTAACTACTTAACCTTCTGCTAGACGCAATCTATATTGGATACTACTTACATTGAATAATTGACTAATGTACTTTTTTTCCAGTCATTTTGTCACTTATTTCATTATTAATTCACATTTTCGAGAAAAGTCACCAAGCCATGTGGGATGGGTTCGAAATTATATAGAGCATGCGCAAAAAATTCCCAGTCATTTATCTATTCATTCCGTTACTTTATAGTTAATCAATCCATTCATCCACTCACGTGTTCGTCCATTCATCTGTCCATTTAATTTGACATATTTTTCTGTACTTACGTTCCTGTCTTGCTTCCTTCGTTGCCCGAATATGGAAACCCAGACCTTTCACTATCAGACTTAGATTTATCATCAGTCTTGTCGCGATCCAGTAAATGTCGGTCAATTTTCAGGGTAGATAGATATGGAGCTGATAAAATATATTACTCATTAATTAGTGATCAAGATGTACTGCTCTCGTGTTTTAACAAAAAACAAACAAAAAAAATCAGCAAAAAAAAGAAAATCAAAGCAAAATCACGTCATTCGAGGGAAGGAATAATGACTCACCAAGATGGTACTTGCAAACTTGCGCGTATAGTTTGATTCTTGCTCCTTCGCTAGTATTACCTAAAACAAAACAATGCAACAAGAATTACATTATTAATTTTGTACCTCGCTAATGTATAATTGTTGTACATAAGTAACCCAGGAAAACTCTATTGTACTTACTTTGCTGTGAAAACCAATCATCTACGTTCTCTTTACATAGCTTTAGCGACTTCTGGCCAACTCGAAGGATGCCATCTCGAATCTTAGCAATAGGAACATGTTGGCCTAATCGACAAGTCTAAATAAAAAGAAACCGAATTTTTTGATGTAAACATACTATGACGTCATTATGAAATAGTACAATTGCCCTATAAATTGCAATTGCCCAATAAACAAAAAGATTCGAGGTTGGTTTATATTAGAAACGGTGAATGCTTTACCTCATACAAAGAACTGAGTTCTTTGAAGAACAGTTTTGTACTCGTAAGAACGGGATCATTTTCAGGAGCAACCACAACRTAGGCGATGTCTTGTTTGGAAGAAAATGGTTCCAGCAAAAGCTTTTCCTATTAAATATAGAAAATAGTATTACAATTTGTTCATTTACATTGTTTTTTTTATTGTGGAAAGATACGCTGTTGACAAAACACACTCTGCTTACCCAAAAGTGGAATGAAAATGGAGACAGTGAAATCCAGTCTCCACTATTACCAACAATCATAGAAGGAACAGGTTGAGCTTGCGGTGTTTCTTCTCCACCTGAGAACAACAGAATCGTTTTATTTGACAGAAAATCATAAAGAGGAGAGCAGTTATTTTGCAATTGGCAAACATGAACAAAGAAAGACAAACAACAACAACAACAACAGCAGCAACAACAACAACAACAACAACAGCAACAACAGCAACAACAGCAACAACAGCAGCAGCAACAACAGCAACGAAGAAATATTCTCCTTTGCTAAGGATGAAAGTAAGTTTTACTTTACAAACAAATAAACAGAAAGAGAATCACTACAATAACACTGTTTTTGTTTACCTTTTACAGCCAATTGATGAAACTGCTTCCAYGAAAGAGGTCCCTGGACCATTGTACCATTGGGCTGCTCCCACGTCTTTCTGCTTGTTGACTTCTGCAAAGCTTCCTGGAGAATTTGTCTGACACCATGCAGAGCAGTTACAGCTGTAAATAATACGATTTGATGAATATAAATATTATACATTTGTATTTAAAAATTCATATTTCTGCTTAAAAACTTTCTTACTCTAGTGCATAAGCAAAAACTATTGTAAATACTGTCTATTTCTCTGTTAAAATTACAATTTAGAGAGGTCAAATAATTCGCAATCACAAACTAAACAAAATAACCATGTCCTCCAGTCCTACAGAATTGAAAGACCACAAGATTTATGACACTTTGAAATGGATATTACTCTTTTACCGTTTGGCAAATAATCCTATTGATAAAAGTGTTTCAGAATTGACATTAATACAATTTTTCTTGTTTGTTTTCCAGCAAACAATCCTACCTTTAGTTGTAGGCACACTCTCCACAGATGACACACTTCCATTCTGTTTCGTTATCTGTTGTTTAATCATGGAGCAAGAGAAAGGCGAAGAGCACTGATCAATGACAATATCCACAAGACTGYTGAACATTGAATCACTTTGCAGAGAAACTGTAGTTTGTTTTTCTCGTTTTACTTCCACAATTGCTGAAGAAGGTTGTCCAGTTGTATTTTTGTCCTTATTAACAAGTGTTTTCCCCAATTCATCCTCTGGAAAAAGTCCCTGTCCTTTGCAGAATTTCAATTTTTCAAATGTTAAAAATCCACAGGTGCAATGTTGAGTATCCCATAATTTTGAAGCAAATGCTTTGTATTTGAGAGTCTTTGATTCGCCAAAACTGTGCTCATCACAGCCACAGAGATTCACATTATCAAAGTTTTTATCGCTAAAGTAGTTTTTACATGAGTCAGAAAGTGTCAACACTTTGCTAATTGAGTTTGAATGTTGTAAAAAGTCCACAAGAAGTTTAGAAGGTAGGTTTGTAGTTTTGTGTTTGGAAACATTATGTGTAATGGAAAAAGATGATATGGATGATGCTGGAGAAAGGGGAGATAAAGAAGTATAATGACGAGAATCAGCGCTGACACTTGGTATGTCACCAAGGTAACTGCCTTGGGCTGGAGATGGTAGGATTGCCGCAGGAGTGATCTCTGTTGCATCACTTTCAACAATATATCTAAACAAAAACAGAACACATTAATTCAGCTATTAGATCTGTGGGAAAAACATGGTAATAGAAGAAATGTTGTCCAAGAAAAATAACTTTAGCAATTAAGGAGCTGACTAAAATACAAAAAAGTCAGATTGAGTGGTATTKTTTGGTCTATGTTAAGTGCATTATATTCAAAAGAAGTTAAAATATTTGGATAAAAGACTTATTGATTTCTATTAGGTAATATTAGTAAGGGAGTGAGTGAGTGATCACAAGTTACAATACTACACAATAGCAATAGAAGCATACCTTTCATTTTTCGTTATTTCACTTTTGGTGTCTGTACTTTGAAGCACCTGTAAAAAAAATACAGCAGATCAGATACTGTTAGTTACTAATCAGCTACTGTCTGTCCTTTGAAATAGAATTAACATCTTGTAAAGGCACCACAGGAGATAAACAGAAACTCTTACAAACCTGACTGCGTGGCTTATACATCAAGTTCTCAGACATTTTGACAGTATGCTTTTTCTGGCTTGGAAGACCATCGACTTGTCCAAATTTTGATGACAAAGGAAACTCTTCTACAGTWGGAATTTCAAACACAGACCCGAGCTCCTGTCGATAAAAAATGTAGGGGTTTTTTTTCAATAAAAGAATTTTTGTGTAGTTGGAAATTTCAGTTTGTGATGAACACTTTTATGATAATGATTTGTGTGGTGGGGAACCAGTACACTATAACAATTACAGAGAATCAAATGTCATGGTATATTTAGCACCACAGAATTGACAGTGGAACACTCTAGAAATATCAAAAAGCATGCAGCATGTCTMTGTGACAAYTCCCTAATTTTTGAYTAATTCAAGGTTGWAGAWATGAKGTTTYTTATAWYCATACTACATTTTCTACAAAACTGACCTTTGGACTGATGATGCTGTCGTGTTCTMCATCCGTCATTATCATGGTACCCAATGAGTGAGTCTCAGGTGATGTTGCTATTCCACATACCATTGTTTTAACACTTCCAGGGCTGATATAATCACTCCCAGTTGAACAGGGTGGTGAATGTGCAACTGGTTCTAATGAAGGTGGTGTAGGGAACATTCTAGCAAGGTCCTGTGATGGCACAACACCTGGATTCACCATTGTTTGACTTGAACTGAACATGTCTGTAGGTTTACTAGATGAGCCTTGTCCAATATGAAATCCAAAGTTGGTGTCATTGTTTGGTGTCTTTTTGAAAGCATCGTCGTCGTCATCATCATCATCATCATCAAATAGTTGGTCCAGGTCGTTAGCTGTTACCATCAAATCTTTATCTGTCCTCATTTTACTAATTGGAATGTTTTGACGTGGAGTTGGTGGGGATGGKAGAAATTTCTGCATTGATGTATCATKTAAATTAAAAAGTGAACTTTTCAGATTCTCTTCTTCTTGTTCTCTGAGCTGCCTCTCCTTCTCCTCCTGCTGTTGCTTACGAATGCTCTGTCTCCTTTGTCGAGGTCTGCTTGGTTTCTGAGGTTCAATGGGTACAGGCGATGGAATYGATGGACTTGCAACACTGCTGTTGCTACTCCGTCTTCTCTGCCTGGAAACACGTGCTTGCGTTGGTGACTTTAATACCGGTAGTGTTATGTCCATATCATTGTCTTCTATYTTGATATTATGAAATGGACTTGGAGGAAGAAGGATGGTTGGGGATTGTAGGGAGCTGTTTCTTCTGCCCCGTGGTCTACTGCTCCCAGACACACTTTCATTCCTRCCTCTTCCTGAYCCTGTGGACTTTGTAGATGATTCTCTTTTGTTTCGTTTTGCTGGTGGTGAGGTTGCATCTATTTCTGCATCAAGTGGTCTTTTAATGCTACATATAATCAAACCCATGCAATATTAGAATGATAATAAGTATCTAATAAGTATAAAATATCTCAAACAACACAAAAATAATGATAAGCTTTACAAAATGAAAGTTAATTATTTGAGGCCTTTCCACGTGAACGACACGTGATCCAAGTATCTACCTTGAAATCTAATGCATTGAAATTCTCACTTTAACGATGTCTTTACATGGAAACTAGTTTGCATACAGTACCTGGACAATCACATTCTTAACGAATATTTATTGAGCATACACAGATACAGACTCTCCCCCTCTAATCATCTTTTACCAAATGCAATACAAATAATGACTATTATGATAAAAAGTACCACCTACCTGTCAAGAACTGGCTTGCTTGGTTCCTGAGAAGGCAGTGGAGGAGGTGAAGGTAATGGCTGGAATAACCGACAGTCCAGGGAATTTCCAGGAAGAACTGGAGCAACAAAACTTGATTCACCAGGTAACAGATAACAAATGTCACTTTSGGAAGGTTTTGTTGTGGAATAGCTTGATTTATCTTGAAAGTCTTGACTTGAAAAATTACTTTTATTAGCAGTTTCAAAGGTGCTTTCAGTTTTATTAGTGATAGATGTGACATCTGTCTTGGTATCCATTTTGACTGCAGAGGTTCCACTAGCAGTTACTTTAGAAGTGCCCAAACTAGAGGAGTGTTTGTTTATTGAATTGTGTCCTGGTACAATATACTTTTTGGCAGTTACACTTGAGCCAGCACAGTCTGAAAACCTTTTTTGGCTGTCACTAGTTAAACTGTTAACAGTCGGTAATCCTTTGGTTGCCATGACAGCATAACACTTAAGTGGTGGTTCAGGTGTATCTTGTTGTAAAAGAGGCCGATGATGGAAAGGAATTATTGCCTTTTTCTTTTCCTTTTTTAATTTCATGGTGGTTTGTGTTTGCTGTTGTTGTTGTTGTTGTTGCTGCTGTTGTGGTGAAGGTAGAGGGTGGTTTGGGGATGGAATAGGTCTGTTGAATCCAAATGATGTCCTTACTTGAGTTGATGGCTTTGGCCTAATAAAAAACACAAAATGATCYGATAAAGCTACATGCATTAAGAGAACCTTCGCGGTCTTATAAGATTATAGGAAAACTTTACATATCTAAAGAAACCTTTGTTTAAATTCATACCTGCTAATGTTGCTGCTCGAGGTACAAGCACAAGAAATGCGTTTAAAAGGCTCCTCAAACTCCCATAATGGCTGACCAATCAAACTTATTTCACCCCCTGGTGGAGGTTGTGGAGAAGGATCAGCCTTTACAAAGCTTGGTACCAGCTTAGCAGTTGTCAATTTACTAGAAAAAAAAAATTAAGATGCATACATTTAATACTTACTATTGGGAACAGAAAAATGTACCATTTAGGGTCAAAAAAATATGTAGTAATTCAAAAAAATGCCTTTTTTAGACATAAAATGGTATATCATGAACAGCTGTAATATTGTGCTTGCATACCTCACTGATGGTTTAGGGGCAGCYACACCTTTCCAAACATCTTGCATTAGTGTTTGAGTTAATTTCTTTTTATCACTATTAGTTTTGGGTAGTGCAGCACGTATTGAGACTYGGCTTGAAGAYAGCAATGAAGGCGGTAGTTTAAGAGAGCCTTTTGAAGGATCTGATGAGTCAGCTGGTGATGTGGGAGGTGTTAGAGAAATKGCTGATGAAGGAACACTGCATGGCATACCTTCAGAACTTGTTGTTAATTTGTCTAAAAAGGACACAAATCTTATCAAAATGGCATATAGATATACAAAAATATTGACTACACAAGTTGATATTAATTTTACACATTTAATAGTAACAGCTGAAGTTCCACAAAAATATAAATAATATTGTTGAGACTCTACTTCAAGACGTTCTTGAAGTAGACAGCTTTAACAGCCAGCTTTCCAAAACTCTTTTTTAGTTGTTGCTTTTTCTTCCATTACAAACAATGCATTCATCACTCATTGGMAAAAGCTCTACCAACAGACATTTTTATCTGTTTCTGAATGGTGTCTGCTTACAGTAGATTCAACTGTAGCGTTTTAGCTTAGTAAGAAGAGGGGTAAAAGAGTTCAGCTCATTATTACAAAGATAATACTAACCCTTATAATTATCACTGCACACTATGGTGACATATGCTGATGGATACATCATTACTTCKTCATTACTGACAACCATTACGATAGCAGGGACCTCTCGGTCCACCGGTGAGTCTGCTGACAGCCAGTGGGAGCCTGGGTCCAAAGGATAGAATTTTGACCAATCATCAAGTAGCTTGTTAGTCTTATCATCATCGATTGGCTGTGATTGGCCAGTTAGAAATCCACTTTCACCAAAAGGACTTAAAGTAACTGGTAAAGAGGTGCATGAATTATGATGTATTCAACATAAAATGTATAAATTATAATATTCATAAAAATAAAAATCAATTATGTTTTATTAATGATTTTAAAAATACTGATGTCAAAGATAYAAATTACTCAAATCAGCTCAGCTGTTATTTGAACAATGTGCAAACTACAAAAAACATTATGATTTTGAAGAAACATTTGTAGCAATGAGTCAGACATCATGTGGAGAGCTAGATTCAAATATATTTGAACTTTGCCTAATGTGCTGTTTCCTGTACTCAAGATTGCATTTTGTAATTATGTCCAGAATCGTTTTTGTACAAAAAGCTGATCCATTTAAAGATCATTTATTTTCTGCAATAATAGCTTGGAGATAACATAAGTAAACAGAGCTTTATGCAACACTTATACTTTCATTTTACACTTTCATTGCCAAAACAATTAATACAATTTCTCAAATTGCAGGAGTTTAGTTTAGACAGTACAATTTTCAAATAAAAATTTGAGGAATAACACACAACATAACAATTCATCACGTAATAACAAATGTGAAATGACAAAAAATATCAAAATTGAAATTGAAAAGGAATGACATTAAATACAATTTTTGACATAAATTGTCTTGTGGTGCAACTTTACCTTGAAGTCCTTCAGCTTTAGTGGAGGCAAGAATCAAGTCATCAACAACAATATGTCTTACTCTGGGTCCCTGCTGAATTTCTACCGTTGTACAAACAGTACTCTCCCCATGGACGAAGAAGGAAAATGAATACGACAAGTTGTCACTGTGAATACAATGGAAAAAAGTGTTATTCAGCAATATAATTTCATTGTAGATTGAATAAGAGATGTTTAGGAAAAATTCAAATTTGGTGAGAAGGCAAATATTTCAACTGAAAAATAATTAAATTGACTTTCTTATTATTTTCAGTGAATTTGTCCCCTACTCAAAACATGCTGTGCTATCATTATGGAGTTTAATATGGCAAATTTTGGTTTTGAAGCCAATGAGAGWATACATCTTTATAAATTAAAAACAAAAGGCATCTGTTTAAAAATGTTATTAAAATGGGTTTTTCTGAAGTTAGCTTCTGTTAATCAACGATTTTGACCCTTCAGGCTATAAAATAAATAAATGAAAAAAGCATTAAAAGGAAACTTAATTTGTCTTTTGATAATATGATGTATGAATGTATGCATGATGTAAATGATATGAATTTATCCTGCTAACATCAYATGAAAAGTATCAAACTCCTTGTCTAATCAAGATTTTCATATAATTTTCATAATGTATCAATAGTTCCCAGTGATATTTTTCTCCAAAACAGCATACACAATACCAGTTTGCTAAACATAGACAWTTTTTCATTGTCATYAACCAAAGATTCAGATGTGTTTGAAAATCAAAGAAAGTCTTATTGGATTTTGGGTTTCCTCTGTGGAGTGTATCATGAAAAGGAAGATGAAAACATYTCTCTAGGCCAGCAGATTTTCATATCTTTATTTGTTATTTGACCAACAGGAACACAACGATATGAGCATTTTGAGATGATATCATACTGGGTTTCTTATACCATTATTTCCTTTGTAACTATTTCATTTAGAAATGATTTACTGCTTTTCACCCTAATCTAAATTGTTGCTATTCTATCAACAAGCTACAAATGTAAGGCCAAAAAACATTCTTTATTTCCMAACCATGTATTTTGTTAGATAAGAATATATAGAATATTACATGGGCACACAAAAATACRGATTTTTATCTTTGAGGGCTCAAKTGATATCTCATGAGTGAKTGAAGRGAGWTATCAATTGAACACACRATAAAATCTGTATCTCTACGTGCCTATGTGATGTTCTGTTTATAATATAAACTCCAATTCATATCTATAAGTCAAGAAATAGAAAAATTCAACAGAGTATCATGTTGACATGTGATTTYTATGTATGAAGATATCACTTCTTCATGTATGAAAAGATACCTGGTATTTCATTGAAGTTTATTATATAAAAAATTATGAACAGCACCAGAACAAAGCACAAACASATGAACAACTAGCAATTTCAGCATGCAAACTCTGCATGCCCGATGCAAAGCAATAGCATCAATCATCTTGCCAGCAAGACACTTGATATTATGCTCAATAAACCATGTTGAGGTGATTTACCATGATGTGTTTAATGATTAAATACAAGAATACATGTATAAAGTGGACAAATGCTATTTTATGTAACATTATYGTTTATAAGACCTTTTTTATTGCTCATAGAATTGACCACTCAAATATCTACAGTAGTATACCTTGTTGACTCTGATGCTTCGCTGTTCAGGACTGGTTTTACAAACCAACGTCCAAGCCTTATAAACTTCTTTGATAATAAACATCTAGAAGAAGAAATGTATACCTTTGTTATTTTTGGATACAGCTACATATTGCATTACATAATCACTAGAAATATGAMGAAATGTTGAGAAATGTGACTGAGGGATAAAAGGGATCACATTCATGACCCTCTAGTTACAAATGACAGAGAAATATAAAAAACRTGAAAAAAGAACTCAAAAGACAATCCAATTTTTTTGAAGGATCACTCAAAGCTACAACACTGGACAATGATTTCTATTTTTTTATAATTTTTTGTAACCAACACACAAGATAATAAAACTGCCAACCAAATACATCCCAATAGGTTGTTCAACAATAATTCATTTAGAGATAAATAAAAACCTGAATTTTCATGATGTTTATTATACTAACTTAATAGACACAATGAAATTTGATAGGAATGATACTAAGATAATATCAAAACAATGGGCAAGACTGGCTGAAATACTAGAATCACACAGAACTCTATCATTTACATATTCTATGGAAAAATAAATAAATAATGAGCCCCAGTTTTACAGTCAATGGCATGAATGTTCAATATAGCATTTCACAACATTTAAGTGTRCAAAGTAATTGGTTGTTTTTTGTCCTTAATATCTGAAAGTACATAAATCAGATTCAAATGAATATTCTTCACTAAAAATAATTTTGTATTTAWGTTGTAAAAGCAAATTCATTAATATCCAACAGCTACATTGTATTATGCTTGTGTTTTACAATGATAGAAAAAAATGTTCAAAACTCTTTAGTGAAACACAATAATTATGAATGGCTTTCTTTAAGTACCAATGCATGCATTAATCACACATCAGGTTGCGCAATGATATGATGCACATTAAATCTACACATAGACACCAGGTGTAATTTGTCAAATAATGGCTAGCTCAAACATTCTAGCTACCAAAGAACACAAAGAGCGTGTTTTCAAGATAACAGTTCAAACCTCTGTCATTCACTTCAGGATAAACAATTATCTTATCATTAATCACTATTCTATTCATTATTGCATTGGATTTTACTGTTGATAATAAAGTAAATGTTGGAATATTAAAATTTTAACTTACTTTTCCAATAAATTATGCAGTGCTTTGAAAAGCAATGACCTCGGTTCATGTGTCAAGCCATCTTCCCAACAGCCATGACTGGATTCTTGACAGAAATAAACATTATACATCAGTTAGAAGTTGAAAAAAAAAGTAACTTCGCATATTGGAACCTATAGGGGGAGGTGAGGGGAGCTGCAAAAGTAGTTTATGGTCTAAAACCATAGCTAATATACATCAGGATGAAATAAAATATCCATCACAGTTAATAAAAGAACTTTCATCCAGAATCAAGAGGCATAATATTGCCCTATGCTGTTAAAATCTAAAAAAAGCTTATTGCTATCTACATTCCAGGTTATGGGAGAAGAGCATGGCCCTATTAAAATAATACACCTGTCTCTTGGTGTCATGTCCTGTGTGAACACCACAATATTTTTCAAATTTTGTCTGGTAAATTCCTCTGCAATTTCTGGTAAATTCCTCTGCTATTTCTGGTAAATTCCTCTGCTATTTCAAGTGTTTATCACTGTATGGATTGCTTTCAACCCTCTGTCCATAACCAACAGCAATTAAGACATTCAATGCCAAATATATCCATATCAAGTGCTAAAATGCTGATCTGTCACTGCTGTGGTCAAGGTTTGAATACAATTCCAGACTTAACATATTTGATTTTAGCTAGTAAGATGGTTCTCTTTCTTGTTTCTAGTTGTTGTTTTTTTCTAAGTACACTACATGTAGTTTTCCTCTTTGTGTCAAAAAATAGTTGTGAGGAGTGTCATCTTGCTATAAACCATCAAGGTTAAAGTAGTTTGTGTGKTTCTGAGTCTCCACACATAGTAGRMCACTCGTTATCTGCCTTGCGCTATTAAAACATTACAAAGGTTATTTATATCATTATCTATTTCTTACCTGAAAGACGAGATGATACTATTCCACCAAAGTTTGGCTCTTCACCATACCAAAAAACCCATAACTCCTTACYAGCTCTGACTATGTCATCYTTGGTCTTCTGAGGTGGCTGAGGTGTTCGTCTCCAGGCACAGAGAATGTCTTGCTCCAAAACAGAGGAGAAGGAACACAAAACTGGATCCCCAGAGGGGGAGGTGTCTGTCACCTTGTTCCAAACATAAACATACTTCCGCCACTTCAGGCCACAAAGATCAGTCTAAATAATTTTTTTTTAAAAATATATCCTATTAGTACTGATGAAGGAAATAATGTTACAACAAGGCAAAATAGAGATACAAGTAATATAAAACTGCGTCAGCTGTCACCAGACAGGAAGCGTTGTCTGACTTGTGCAATGATGATATTTCAAAAGGTCTAAAACTTTATTTTAGCTTGTATGCTGTCTATTTAAATATTTAAAACTAAAAAGGCAGATTGCAATTTAATCTTACAGTATAMCAAAGATAGAAAAACAAAGAATGATTTTTTTCAAAATAAGAAGAAAAAAAATATCAAATTTTCCTTACGCCTACTCAAGGAAGTCATTCCTTGYTTACTTTGCTGCTTAATATTTTGGMAACAGACATTTATGTCATTGATCTTACTAACAATATTATAAAATACAATTTAAATGCACGGAAAGCTCATTTCAAAATGCCAARGGCTATGGAAGCAATTATTTTTTTGGCAAAGATGACTAAGAGTTACTTATAAACAAATACCAAATTAGCCAATGAAAAATGCYCCTTTTATAGCGATTGGACTAAGTTGACAATTTATAACTTTAAAACTGATCAGACAATTCACATAACTCTAAACACTAGAGTACATGTAATAGTTTGAATCAAGGATAAGAAAAAAACAAATACTATACCACAAAGTGTTGGTGATTTGAATGTACACAGGTGTCAAAGTTTGAAGTCTTTATGAAAGAGATATACCTCTGTAATGTGGATTTCATTGACAATAATATTCTAATTTGGACTTAAACTTTATTATTATGGAAAAAACATGACAGATTAGATTACTCACGTTAGTCAATAAAGTGCTCTTTAAAGTAAATATGAATTTTGAGATGCAAATCTCAAAGCAATTATAATGATGAWGATTGCTGTGATCATGAAAGGAAGAACTAGATATTTTTTTCATTAAAACAGCATTGAAAGAAGTGCTTCTTTGTAGTGCAAAGCRCAAACACTAGATCCATAAAATAAACCTATGATTTTTACATAACAAATCTTTTTAATCTTGTGCTAGCTAGTAGAACAGTCTAAAAAGGGAGATAATCAAGGAAAYCATATCTAGAAAAATTGTATCACTTACATTCAAATTGGTAGGACATTACAATAGCACATTCGTGTGGACATACATGCATGATCTACTTTAAGTTTATCAGGAAAAATTAATTGTTCTTTGTCCAACAAATTACTTTCAAATAAGAAAAAAATCATAATCTGTTATGCAAAGAAACACATTCTTGTYAAGATCTATACTACAATTATTAGACAAACATTAAAATATCGTTTTAGATTATACAAATTAAAAAAAAAAACATTTTTTGTACCTTTGTTCTCATTTGTTTCTTTTTTTGTTTTCTTTATGATAGTACAGTAATTAGTCCTAAGCAGACTTCCTCACTATTGAAATTTGTGATAAAAATGGAATTCAAAGCAAAATATGACACGCACAGTAACAGATTGAGACAAGTGATGAATAAATTTGACATGTTTTCTCCAATACTATGAAAAATGTTAATAATGTAACACAACTGCAATATAGATATCAATTAATGCTATAGTCAATGCAATAACTWAAAGATTTACACTAACATGATTAGATATAATTCCTGCGTGAATGTATCAATTCGTGTAATGTATGAATGTTGATATAATCTATACTCATATAACATATCCACTTTATTAAGTTGTTAATCAGCTCTGAAGACACCAAGATGTTTATTGTTTTCTTGCATTTTCTATTAATAACATATATACATATTTAAATATGATTCGCTAGTTTCACAGCTTGTGTAAGTTTAATTTATCATACAGCTCTAATTTTGTTAATGCGAGACGAAAATATGTACTTCTGGTCAAACAAATCATATGCTTACTTTCTTATTAATACGACTACTTCTTGACTAGCGATGTGGTCATGTCAAACATGCAACTTAAACAAGGAAAAAGGTTCGCAAATATTAAAAAATCATGCAAGGGTAATGCTTTTCAGGCTGATCAAAGTTGAGCTATATCTGTTAAAGATAAATTAAACACGCACAGAAATGTCATCAAACATAACAGCAAACAATATTGTTGTTTAAAAACACGCCACATCATTCAGTCTGAGAAGGTTAAGTGAATTGGAAAACGGACTCTTCAATATCTGAAATTATCAAAGTGGAAAATCTTGATGTTGTTTTTGAGCCAATGTATGATAAAAAACTGGAACGCAAGAACCATTTGATCCGAGGGCAATACATATATTAGAACAATTTTTCATTGAAAATATTGCTAATCACATTTTGAGATGCATTTGATTACAATCGCCAGGAAAATTGAAATAATAAAAAGCATGATTTCGTCTGGAAAACACTGATAACATTTTTGTCGGGAAGTTAAAATAAACACTTTAGTGCGATTATTAAAACACTGACAATCATGTTGGAAAATTTATAATTATAATAAAAGGTGTAATCGAATAGGATTTGATTAAACATTTCTGGGTGAATTTTGCAAATGATAATGACCCCAACACAGTCAAAATAAAGCGAATATATCCGACATGGCAGCCGAGCTAGTAAACAATAATAGTTCGAATCCACCTTGCGACACGGTAAGAAACATGTCTGAACAGCTTAATAAGATAACTACGAAACTTGTTTTAGTCGCACTAGCTCATCAGTCTAGTGTCTAATGTTTTCAAGAATTTCACTATAAAGATCAGTTAGCTAAGATCCTCAATATTTGTAAATTATTAAAAATGGCGAAAACGAACACCATAAATTATAAGGTCACTTCAACATCTATTGAAGTTGTGAAAATAATCGGCCTTAAGTATTTGCACGCTTGGCATAGCTTTCGCGTTCCAACGAAAAACCATCGTCGATTAAACTCGCAATGTTAACTATTTTGCAGTATATCAACGAGTTCATGCATTTTCAAATGTTTTGTGGCTCTAAATATTTGAAAATCAACACGCCAGCAGTAGCCATTTATATTTGGTTGCAGGTTATTGGGCTCGAAAAGCACAATATAGTTTCTATTCGTAAAATGTCAAATGTGTATTCCAGACTAGATGTAAAGCCCCATGAATAGCTTACAGAAGCCTAAACTAACAAACTGGATCAGAATTTAAGACGATTCACTATAAGATAACGAGAGAATGACTGAACACGGGTTCCATGACGAATTCAAGAAATGGCTGTCTGAGTGGATATAGACTTAGACAAGCCATGCAGTTTTAAATTAATATATTATTTCTCAATCTTGACAAAGCATTTGCTTCTTAGTATAACAAGGGAAACGGATGTAAATCACTTTTGGAAGAGATACTGGTAAGTTTTACACTAAGAGAAAAATGTTATATACTAGTACGGTTTTACCGCTAAATAAGGTGTCAACACCACAAAAAATACTCTAGCATTATTTTCACTTTGAGCCCCTAGCTTCATCATTTCCGATTTCGCACTACCAAGAGAGTGTTCCATCTCAATCATAACAATTAGATAGAATATTTAGGGTGAAATTAATTCTCCCTTTTGCCAAAATAGAAGCCCAATTTGGAATTATAACAACGAATCCCTCGGTCAGTCACTTTTTCGCCGTTTCGACCACAAATGTCGAGCTTTAAGCGAAGGATTCACAACTGCAACGCTTGAAAATGTTGGAAACCCTAACCATAGCCTTTTTGAATCGGCTAAACGTAGAGTTTCCAACAATTGGCGAGAATTCTTCGCTTGAGTCTATGAAACATGTGAGAGAATTGCTTCAATCGTTCAAGAATGACCACGCTACAAACACTCACCAGTGCGAATGCATTCGAACAACAGTCGTCCAAATCAGATCCATCGGGCGCACACCTCGAACTAGTCATGCTAAAAGCATGACTTACTAAAACATCGGAGGGAAATTATACTGTTAAATTCACAAAGAAGGCCTTCCAATCCAAACGTTCAACTTCAAAGGAAAATCGGGAAATAAGATGGCAGAGTGACGTTGTGAAGCGCGCATTACTCCGCTTCTTGATTGGTCAAACACTGTCACGTGTCTTGTGGGAGGTCAACTGCTATAAAAGTTACATCTACTATTCCTCAACAAGTGTTGATAAATAAAAATCTAGTTTTAGCTAGCTTTATAAAACATTTAACCAAAAAGAAACGTTTACTGTCATGAATTTGTTCATTAATGAAATTACAAGTGTTAGAAAATTCTTTTTTTKTTTAAAACAATAAACAATTTTGACACATTTTCCGCTAAAAATGGCCTGCTAGCTCGGACCTACAGGATTTCCGGCAAATACATTTTTTTCGCTTGAGAGCCCTAGAATGCATACTTAAGACCCTGTTAAAATATTTCTCTTCGTTATTTATCTTCTAAATCGTTTCAAATAAATCAGATAAGCTAATTATGATTTTGAAAGCGAAATTGTAGTTTCTCTTTCGAAATTGTGACTTATTAAAAATATTCCCCAACTCTTGGATAAATTTGAAATGAAAATCTGATCATAGAAACTTTGACCCCCTTTCCAGAGCTGATATRAAACACAAGTGTCAATACTTTAACCGTCAAACGAACAAGACATTATCACTGGAGGTGTAATTTGATTTAAGGATTAGTGTTATAAGTCTAGCCATTAGTTTTTTTAAAAAAGTAGATACAATCATTGTTATAATCAAGTTTATTGTTTTTTTAGACGTCGCTCGGGACACTTAAGTACATAAAATTTGATTTGCCCCCCCCCCCCCCCCCCCCCCCCCGCCTCCTTCCTCCCCCCTCTGAATTCTCAGCTTCCCTTCCCCCTTCCTGGTAAGTATTGCGCAGTCTCTAATAAAATGTATTGTATAATGCATGATTATTAGAAACGTTAGAAGTGTCAGTAGTGTCAATATCGATAAATAATAAACAAAAATATCTCCCTAGCTCAAGACCTGATTGCATGAGTTACATTTCGTTACCTAGACTACTTATACTCTGCCGTAGAACTCAATACAAATGACGCTTTCATATTCATTTCCTTGTGAAAAGTGGCGAGAATTTTTTGCGTCAATGTTGATGATGTCATATGAATAAATAATGACGTCAAWCTACATATGTATTTGTTCGTAACTGTAAGAACTTGACTTTAAACGATGAAGATAGCAACCAAAAAGCGCAACTGTCCAACTGTATATGACTGCGCGCAAAACTGGAATCAGGATTTTAGTTTTGCGGGATCGGAGATCAGGCAGSGACCTGAAAAAAATTGGATTACAAGCAAAAATTAAAGCATGTCACGACCCTGCTGTGATAAACTAAAGATTTTTTATTCGAATTAATTTTGAGATATTGATTACTAGTTTAAACATATGCACACTTTTTCAATCTTGTAAGAGCAGAGATGTATACCCAGGATTTGTCATGGGGCGGGTGGAGGCCGTGCTTACATCAATTTTTTTCAGTTAAGTGCAGTAAATCATGCACCTTTGTCGCAGTCTTGGATCCGTAATACTTAACAATTAGACCTCAAGGTCGAGTGGACTACGCGCTAATAGCCCATGAGTCCGAGTCCGCGAGGCCGAATGGGCTATTAGCTCGTGGTCCACGAGGCCGAGAGGTCTAATTGCTTTAGTATAAACATACTAATCGGTCAAATAATGAAAACAAATTGAAATATCCTGAAAATAATTTATGATTTATAATTTATCTATTTTGATTTTCCCGCGAGTGGTCTATCACAAATTAGACCATTAGTAGAGTAGCCAATCACAGCGCAGTATGAGTGATAGACCATTAGTAGAGTAGCCAATCACAGCGCAGTATGAGTGATAGACCATTAGTATGTTTATACTAAAAGGGCTTGAACTACCCCTCTAGAAACCCCTACACACTCCGATGCCTTTTGCAAGCYTCTCAGGCTACAAAATCTATGATGCAAGACCGACCATAACTGATTCATAGAAGGTAGACAGAGAGGTTGATTTATTTTTTTCTTTTCTTTTTTCTTTTTGTTTGTTGTTGTTTGTGTGCGTGTGTGCGTGGTTTGTTTGTTTTTTGCTTT